GGTGTGGTAAAGTATTCGCAACTATTGGAAAATGCAAGGTAATAAAAGCGTAAAAGAATAGAGAGATAGGTGATCATCCGGCTAAGCCGGGTTCTCTGGTCCTTGTCTTAATAGACTAATGCGACGTTCACTTTACTAAACGTGCACCTCAGAGATGACTTGCGAATGTACCTTCTGACAGGATATAATTTCTAATGTGTACTGAGGAATTAGCGTTATTCAATTCGCTAATAGGCAGTAGGATACAGGATTACATACATATATAGGTAAGCAGAAATAGGATAAGGTAGTGTACACTTGCCAAAATGAATCGAATATCGATATGCAAAATCACTGTCAGTTGGTGTGGTAAAGTATTTGCAACTATTGGAAAATGCAAGGTAATAAAAGCGTAAAAGAATAGAGAGATAGGTGTTCATCCGGCTAGGCCGGGTTCTCTGGTCCTTGTCTTAATAGGCTAATGCGACGTTCACTTTACTAAACGTGCACCTCAGAGATGAGTTGCGAATGTACCTTCTGACAGGATATAATTTCTAATGTGTACAGAGGAATTAGCGGCATTCAATTCGCTGATATGTGGTAGGATACAGGGTTACATACATATATAAATAAGCAGTGGTACAATAAAATGAATAAGTATATTTATTATAATAGGTTGAGTAAGTATGCAATATTGATTAAATAGTATCAAATAGTATTGAGTAAAATATTGAATAAATTGACGATTGTAACGCAGACGTGTGCAGATGCAACTCGTGGATCGAAATAATATCGGAAATGCAGAGTAATATATGGCTTATGTCTATGTTCAAAATTCAGAGATCGGAATGTAATGTAAGATTGAGTTAATATTGGATAATTAAATATGATTAAATATAATGAGTGTCCGTCGCGCTTTACCATTTAGGGATATGTGAACTGGCGTAAATACTCACAAGGTTAGACAATGTCTAATGTGCCTTGCTATGGTACACTTCGCTACTGTGTTCTTCCCTCTGAGTCTGAAGATCTGAGGAGCCTCGGTACCTCGGTCCGAAATGGCGGCTGTGTCTCGTTGTCTTCGGGACCCCGTAGTAATTGCTGGTTGAGTGCTGGAATGTTGTTGACTGGAACCACTGCGACGAAATCACTGCCGTTCCGTGCCGGGTGCAGGGTTTATATACCGTAAAATGTGGCTCGCTCCTCCCATCGGGTGATGAGGCTAAGCCAATGGTAAGAGAGATATGCCGGGGAAGTACCGGAGACAATTTGTTCCTGGTAGAGATTGCGACGATTAAGTCCCGGAGAGATGGCTTCTTAGTAGCGATAGCGGCGTTCCTTTGGTGACTCATCGCTAACGGTTTTCAACCGTCCTTTATTCTCGGTAGCGATAGCAGTGTTTCTTAGATGACTCATAGCTATGCGCTCCGACTTTTCTTATCGTATTCTTAGTAGCAATAGCGGTGCTTCTTTGGTGACTCATCGCTATGCGGCTTGCAACGGGCCTTGCAGGTTGCAACGTGTTTCAGCGTTGCATCATGCATTGCATCATGCTTCTAGGATGTAACGGTTCTCAACCGTCTTTCTAGAACCTTCTAGAATTTTTTAGACGTTTCTTGAGAGTAAAGCCGAGTTCACATAATAAAGCGTGTTTCATACCTAATTATCTCATCATTATAGTGTATTACTTAATAAACGATATTTAGGTATTATCCCTTAGAATTTGCGATTTGATATAAAATGCTTTGGACAGTTAAAACTTATCAATTTACATTTACATTGCATAGCTATATGTAAATTGATAGAGTTTGTGTCAGGAATGAATTTCTAAACTGTCTCTGACTAAGTTCAACACTCAATTCGCACATCTACATTGCATAGGTGTAGTACCTTCGATTGTATGACGGATATAATGTTATTATGCATATTGCATATGATTTTTGTCTCCTAATTTATAAATGAGAGTTTTAAGGTTAATAATATATTTGTTATAGGCATGCTTATTGGCTGGTAATGTTAGTCCTCATATTTGTCGTTGGTCGGTAAGGTAGTTTTCTACCTTATCATTAGTGGGCAAGTTTTATCTGTAGTTGGTAAGTCAAGTTTCTGTTTTATCATTGGTCGGTAATGTCGATTTTCATAACGTCGTCGGTTGGTAAGATGGTTTTCTACCTTATCATTAGTGGGAAAGTTTTGTCTGTAGTTGGTAGGTCAAGTTTCTGTTTTATCATTAGTCGGTAATGTTGATTTCCCTATTGTCGTGTGTTGGTTAGTGAAGTGCCGTTTAAAGAAAAGTTCTACATATTCATTGCTGTATGAAGTGTGTAAGACACTCAGGGGTTAGAGCGTACGACGGGTATAGTATAATTAGGGGTTATGAACATACAATGTTTACGGTGCCTAGGGGCTCGCAAGTACAAATGGTGTAGAGTATACAGGGGCATTAGTAGCATGCAATATGTACGGTGTTTCAGGGGTTAGAACATACATTCGTTGTCTGATTTAGGCGCGCTTATTCTCTAATTTTTATGTTTCCTAACGAATGATTCAGAGCGGAGCACCCTTGTTAATTATGCCTTTTATGATAGAAATATTATTTAAAAGTGGATTGCTACTCCCATTGTCATTTGTGAGAAAACATGTTTTAACTTATGAGTAATTATATGTGTGATTAAATATTTGTTAATACCGGTCTTTCATGCAGGTTAGAGATTGTCATGACTAGTAGGTTAAAGAATAAAATTTTGAAAAAGATTGAGACTTTGAAATTTGTCTGGACGTTACAACTGTTTGTTCGATATCGACACCAATGTCTTTTGTCGCAAAAAAAAAACAATGTCCTATTTGAAAGTCACGATCGCGAATCGTACAATAACAAATTTGTCCTCTTGTAGACGACAGTTATAATTTATCGAAAACGCGCACATATGATTTAACGCGATTCAATAATTATCTTAAATTATCTTGTTCACGATCACTTCTCACAACGAAAATTAACTCACAAGATTAACGCAGGATTACAATCGCTCGACGACAATAATGCGAGCGATCCTGGCCAAATCGTTGAGTCGCTAGCCGCTTGCACGTGCACACCGCGTGAAAGAATTTGGAAATCGAAAACACTGTGACGACACTCTTGAGAAAGGGAGAAAGGGAGAGAGAAAGAATGCACGACATGCATTCATCTGTAAGTAACTATCACACAGAATCCTCCAGAAGGATTCGAATATTCGCAGGAGTCGATCACGTGTACGCAGCGTGCACAATACAACGGCGAATTCGTGGCGACGGCGTGCTACGACAATTGTGAGAGAGAGCGCGGGAGAGAGAGAGAGAGAGAGAGAGAGAGAGAGAGAGAGAGAGAGAGAGAGAGAGAGAGAGAAGAGAGAATGCACGACATGCATTCACCTGTAAGCGAATATCGCAATAAATCCTCCAGCAGGATCCGAATATTCGCAATGTTCGATCACGTGCACGTAGCGTGCACGAGACAATGGCGAATTCGTCGCGAGAACGTGTATGTTGCGTCGCGAACGAGATCCAATTATCCGTTAACTTTTCACTCTCGATATGTCACAAAATACCGCGCAAATCTGTTCGTATTTGTCGCGATAGTACATTCACGCACTTATTACACCGTAACGCGAATTATTTAGTCTGACTTGCGACCAAAGCCGGCTCTCTCTCCACGACGACTGTCTCCGACGGAATGCTGCCCTCATCGATCACGCTATCGACCGCGTGATCGCAAGGGGTACGCGCGGAACGCGCTAATTGGCCGAAAATTTACTTCCGCGGCGCTTCCCGCGGTGCGTGCCGCGAGGTGCTGCCGTGTTAGGCCCGCGGCAATTGCTTTTACCTAAATTCTCGACTGATCCGTGAATTTTCGTTTGATCGAGCTCGGCGACATTTTCTCAATCTTAAACACAAACAAAAATCTTTCGATTAATGCCATTTTGAATCCAATTCTCGCGTTTTAAACTTGTTTACTCGTATTTGACATTTTACGGATTTTTAATCGTTTATAACTTTTAAACTAAGAGTGTGCAAACGAAAATTCGACCTGTTTCGAAATGTGCAAACGAAAATCTTTCGATTAATGCCATTTTGAACCCAATTCTCGCGTTTTAAACTTGTTTACTCGTATTTGACATTTTACGGATTTTTAATTGTTTATAACTTTTAAACTAAGAGTGTGCAAACGAAAACTCGACCTATTTCGAAATGTGCAAACGAAAATCTTTTGATTAATGCCATTTTGAATCCAATTCTCGCGTTTTAAACTTGTTTACTCATATTTGACATTTTACGGATTTTTAATTGTTTATAACTTTTAAACTAAGAGTGTGCAAACGAAAATTCGACCTGTTTCGAAACGTGCAAACGAAAATCTTTCGATTAATGCCATTTTGAACCCAATTCTCGCGTTTTAAACTTGTTTACTCGTATTTGACATTTTACGGATTTTTAATTGTTTATAACTTTTAAACTAAGAGTGTGCAAACGAAAATTCGACCTATTTCGAAATGTGCAAACGAAAATCTTTCGATTAATGCCATGTTGAATCCAATTCTCGCGTTTTAAACTTGTTTACTCATATTTGACATTTTACGGATTTTTAATTGTTTATAACTTTTAAACTAAGGGTGTGCAAACGAAAATTTGACTTGTTTCGAAATGTGCAAACGAAAATCTATCGATCAAGCTATTTTGGATCAAATTTGCTCATATTGGGGGGGCTATTGTGAAATTGGCCCCCCCAAAATTGTTTTGGTTATAACTTTTTTATTAGAGGTGTGCAAACGAAAATTCGAAATTTGCATACATGTGCAAACAATGTGCAATCGAATGAGCTATAGAAAGTTAATTTTTTTTAATGTTGGGGGGCCAGCTTCACACGGGTGTCGGGAATTTCTTTGAATGATGCCTTGATGATAGGTCCTACGGTTCAGCAGGATTTGATATCAATTCTCACTCGTTTCCGCACGTTCGCGTACGTTTTTACTGCAGACATAGTTAAAATGTATCGACAGATACTTATTCATGAGTCACAGCTACATCTGCAACGAATATTGTGGCGCGAGAACTCGAATTCGCCGGTCGGTACTTATGAGTTGCTTACCGTTACTTACGGCACGGGCTCGGCGCCATTTCTCGCGACGAGATGCTTTCAACATTTGGCACAAAAACATGCCCTCGATTATCCTGCGGGGGCACAATGCGTTCTTCGGGATTTTTATGTGGATGACTTACTCGCGGGCGCCAATACATTGTCCGAAGCAGGGCGCATTCGTGACGAGGTGATAGCCTTATTAAGGCGCGGACAGTTTGAACTCGGCAAATGGTCATCGAATTGCCGAGAATTGTTACAGGGCATTAGACACAACGAGTGCGGAGGTATCATTAGGCGATGAAGCGAGCTCGAAAATATTGGGAGTCGCATGGGATCCGTCCAGCGACGGATTTCGCTTCGGATACAATTGCGGCGCACCGACAGGTAGCATAACGAAGCGGACGATCTTGTCGGAAATCGCGAGTCTCTTCGACCCTTTGGGTTTATTAGGGCCACTGACAGTTGTGGCAAAAATGATCATGCAAGATACGTGGCAGGCTCGCGTCGGGGGGGACAAATCGTTGCCGCAAGATTTGCATCAGCGATGGCTGAACGTAAAACAACAATTGACGCGCCTTCGCGAATTGCGTGTGCCGCGTTTTGTCGGATTTCGGGCGGACGCGCACAGATCACAAGTACACGGCTTTTGTGACGCGAGCGAGCGTGCATACGGCGCGTGCGTATACATAAGAACGCGCGATTCCGACGGATACCGGGTGGAACTTTTAATTTCCAAATCACGAATAACACCAATTAGAGCAGTTTCGTTACCGCGGCTAGAATTGAATGCCGCGTTATTGCTATCACATTTAATCGAGAAGATTCGCGCATCGGTTGATTTATCGAAATCAGAGATAATTTTATGGACGGATTCCACAATTACTATACAATGGATATCGTCGCCGTCGCGTAAATGGAACGCTTTCGTGGCCAATCGCGTCGGTGAAATTCAGTGCCTTACCAGGAGATCGAGTTGGCGGCACGTGCCGTCCGCTCACAATCCCGCGGATATATTATCGCGCGGCGTCGACCTGGCGGGCTTAATGCAATCGACAATTTGGTGGAACGGACCTGCATTCCTGCAGTTAACTGAGGAACATTGGCCGGTCAAATTATGTGTCGACTTGTCGGGCGAGTTACCGGAACAAAAAAAAGTAACCGCAGCGGTGATATCCATACAACAATCGATCGTACTAAACTTGTTGGACAAACATTCCAATTTAGACAGGGCATTGCGAATCATCGCTTACTGCCTGAGAGTAGCGCGTTCGCGTACGATCAAATATCAGACAACGTTTATTTCGCATCACGAAATAACAGCAGCTCTGCGAGTCGCGGTGAAGTGCGTACAGAGGCATGCCTTTTCAAGGGAACATAAACAGTTGACCGAGGGTCGGAACGTTGACGGCGGAAGTCGGATTCTGTCATTGACTCCGTTTATGGATGAACACGAGATCATTAGAGTGGGGGGCCGAATAAGTAATGCAGCATTGCCATACGACGCGCGACATCCCATGCTATTGCCGAAGAGTCACCGATTGACAACCTTAATCATACAGCGAGAGCATGTAAAAAATTTGCATTCAGGCCTACAGGCCACAATGCATGCGGTGCGTCGACGATTTTGGCCTCTGGCGGCGCGTTCGGCTGTCCGAAAAACAATTCACAATTGCGTAACCTGCTTCAAGTGTAAGCCGGCTGTATCGCAAGCATAATGGCAGATTTGCCCGCGCAACGCGTGACGGCTTCAAAACCGTTCACACATAGCGGCGTAGATTATGCCGGACCCATACTCTTGAAGGAGGGCAAGAGACGTAATGCCAAATTACACAAGGCGTATATGTCGGTGTTCGTTTGTTTCTCGACCAGGGCCGTACATCTCGAAATTGTAACCAATTTAACATCGGAAGCGTTCCTTGGTTCCTTTAAACGTTTTATATCACGTAGAGGCAAGCCGGCATGTGTATATTCAGATAACGGCACTACGTTTGTCGGCGCGCGCAAACAAATAAAGGAGCTGTATGACTTGATCAACGATGACGACACGCAGTTTGCGATACGGCGTTTTATGCGAGATAATGAAATCAATTGGCATTTCATACCGCCCCACGCTCCACATGTCGGGGGCCTGTGGGAGGCGGCCGTGAAGTCGGCGAAATTTCATATTAACCGAATAGTAGGTAACGCGAATCTCACATATGAAGAGATGCAAACCGTGTTATGCAAGATAGCAGCGGTTTTAAATTCGCGACCGTTGACCCCGTTAAGCGAGGATCCAAACGATCTGCATTGTATTACGCCGGGACATTTCTTGGTTGGTGCAGCGCTAAACAGTTTCCCAGTTGCAGATTTTACGAAGGAGAATCCGGGCCGACTACTGCGATGGCAACGCGTAGAACAGCTTCGGCAACATTTTTGGAAGCGTTGGAGCGCCGAATATTTACATACTTTAATCGAGCGACAAAAATGGAGGACTAGCAGGGGCCAGCAATTGAAAATCGGTCAGCTCGCCATGGTGCAGCAACCAGGCTTGGGGCCGCTGCAGTGGTTAATAGGCAGGGTGCAACAACTTCATCCGGGCCCTGACGGTATTGCAAGGACGGCCACATTAAGGACCGCGAAGGGTCAATTAACAAGGCCACTAACGAAGCTAGCTATCCTTCCGATAGACGAGGCACCTGCCGATTAAAACGCGTGTTACACATTGTACAATTTTAATTATGATTTATTTGATCAATTTTGACCTCGAGTAAATCGATCGCGAGCTAATGAAGGTAATAATTTATTGGGACAATTTGACGAGACAATTTTTTTTATTGTAAATTGTGATGTGCGATAATGTCATTTTCAAGTTCTATTTATGTTACTATTTACTCTTTATTTATATTTCAATTTAGGATATCACATGTGTCTAATTGGATCGCGAATAATAATTCACGTGTTGAAGGCATGCCCTTCAAGGGGGGCGGGATGTTCGATACACGACCTACATGATTGACGCCGGACACCGATCGCGGTGATATCACTGTTTTCCTTCTCGTCTTATCTCGGCAAAATTCGGCGCATTCCGAAAACACGGACAAGTGGGGAAATGAGCCTCGATGGTCTCCATCGATGTGCCCGTGAGACACTTCGGTTCCAACGGTCGCGCTAATAACAAATAAGACATTCACAACAACAGGCGAGCGAACGCACGAACATTGTACATCGATCTACTCGGCACCGCAACAATAAATCTCGATCTTGAGAATTAAATTTGATTGCATATGTTACGTGGATTTCCTCGTCACATCACAGTTTGGCGAGACAATACAATTAAGAGCATTACGGACATCAAAATACTCGCATCACGCATACGAGATCACATATTTTCTCGTACAATTTGTTATATATTTTATATATATTATACAATATATAGTATGTTATACAATGATTGAATAAAATACATTAAATAACATTGTTTTTATGTATCCAAGAGTTGTGCGAACTGTCGAATCCCAGCCATTTCATATAAACCTCGTCACCCCTCCTGCGCAGTATTTTCTCCACGAGGTACACATCCGGACAATTTGCGCGACGCAGCTCGTGCTCGTAAAACGTTCCAGCGATAGATGTCTTGCGATAATCCTTGAGTAGATATGTTACAGGATTAGTATGCTACACTTTAACAATCTTAAGGGGATGCCGGAGCGTTGGCCGAACTCCGACGGGTTAGCGCCCTCATTTGAGAGGAACTAAAATTGTCGATAATTACCGACAATTTTAATTCCGCTATTATCGACAGTAATATATATATATGTCAAAAAGCCATTTTAGTGTGTTCAACATATTGAAATCAGACAACATAATATATTTTTACTGTCAAATCATCTCGCACACGCATCTAAGCGTGTCAATGACAATAAAACATACATATATAAATGTGTCTCTTTATGACATAGTTGAACACAATTTTAATATTGCTCTTTTATATATTTTGATGATATATGCATATTTTCATGTATTTTTCAAAGGAAATATACAATCTACCATATATATATATATATATATATATATATACAAGGTGGTTCAAAAGTCCGGCAACGGTTAATTATGTCCAAGAAATAGTGGTCTTATGAATAAAATATAAAAATTGCAGGGTTCAACCCGGGAAAAATTTTTTATATATAATTATATCTAAATAATTATATAATTATACATAATTATATGTGTGAAATATGTTCATTTTATATATAATTAAATTTATTTATATATAAATTATGAAGTTCATGTATAATCTTATGTCAAGTTATATATGAAACATTATATATATTTATATATGTGAATACTTATTTATTATATATACAATATATATATATATATATATATATAAATTTATATAAGTATATGTATATAAAAAGTTCTTTTATCTAATTATATATTGTTACGTCCCTGTTTTTTCATCCCCTGAATATCATCCCTTGTGTCGTGGAGCTTCATCGTTAAGGGGGGTTGTTTATTGACAACCGCCCGGTGGTTGTTTTCAGGCTCCATGACAGTTTTGGTCTAGCTGTCATCTCGTACGGACGTGACTTGACCAGAGAGCAATCTTCTTTCTTTTGCGTGTACATTAGTCATTGTATTTCATCATTGTATAAAGGATCATTTCTTCATAAGAGAGTGTATTTATTTCGCGAGCCGCGAGTGAGTGAGAGTGTGTGCGAGAGACGTCTTTTGCGAGAAAGAACGTCCGGAGGACGTAACATTTTGGGGGCTCGTCCGGGATCGGATCGAAGGAATATCTCACCGCAGCGGAACGGAACGTCGAGAATGATACATTCCCCGAGGATTACCCGTTCACAAGCTCCGTCTCGAACGACTGGCAGCGAGGAATCAGGAGAGCAAACGGGCTCGTTACCGGAAGTCGCAGGAGAACCGGCGGTAACAGAATCTACAGCTCTTCGGGTTCTCCTTCTTGAAATGCGAGAGATGCGACAGGAACAGACTCGTCGAGAGGACGAAATTGCGGCGATGCTGCGTCGTCACGACGAGGAACTTCTAGCCTTGAAGGAGATTCATTCCCGACCACAAAATCTACAGCTAAGTCCTTCTAATAATAGAACGTGTGGAAATTCGGGTACGCAATTTTTAAATGAGAGGGAGAACGATTTTCGCGCGATATAAGAGTACAAATTAAAACCTGATACTTATGACGGGACAGTATCACTTCGTGAATTTTTCTCGCAGTTTAACTTAATTGCTCAATATATATATTTTATAAATTAAACTTCGGCTCGTATACAATTAAAATATGTGATATAATAAAAGGCCAACTTAACGAGCTTATATGCTATTAATTGAAAAATTTATTTATTAATTTACGTCATACTATACAAAAGTTAAGATAAACGTTTCGACTGTACGACAGTCTTTTTCAATATCCTAATAATATGTTAAAAAATTAATTTAGTCATATCGACCTTATTATAAATACAACAATTATGAGATTATATGACGAACGCAGTACAAAATTCATGTTTGTTGGCATGAGTTAGAGCGTCAGATGCTGTTATATTATGTAACGACACTGTGAACAAATTAATATATCCGCTCAAATATTACATTTAGATTTTTAATAAATAGTATTAACTTACTTTTTTGTCACGAACATAACACTTTTTTTAAAAAATTATTTCTTTTTACTTAACATAATCACAATGTGTACTTTTTTAAAAAACAAATCGATATCTGTATCTTACAATGTCGGCGCGCTGTATATATACCCAATTTTTAAGATGACGTAGACAATTTTTTTAGAATATCAAAATAAGAACCGTCAAGACGCTCGGTGTCCTTTTTTAGGTTGATACTGTTGTTTTCTTCTTTAATATATATCATTTCTGATATCAACCTTTTATAATAATTCTTTTCATAATCTAGGATTTTTGTGTCGTTCCAATTGAAATTGTGTGTAAATTTTACAATATGATCAGAAACCACCGAGTGCCTTGCTGAATCTAATCTAATATTATTTTTATGTTCATTTACTCTTGTACCTAATTGTCTTTTCGTCTGTCCTACATATGTAGCATCACAATTATTACACGAAATCTTATATATGACCCCCGAATTATTTTGGAGCTTATCTCTGTCTTTTTGCGTTTTTATGACTCTGTTTAATTTCTTTAGACATCTGTATCCTACTGTTATATTTGATTTCTTTAATTCTGATGCTACTAGTTCCGAGATTCTTTCAATATAAGGTATCGCTATGAATTTTTTATTATTGTCATTATTTATGATTTCGTTATTTATATCTTGAGTCATTTCTTTGTTTAATCTATTAACAATAAGGAACTTCAGTCTATTATTGATTTCTGAGAAAATGAGATCAAGAGGATAACTATTGCTCAATAAAATCTCTATGATTAATGTTAAATTTTTACTATGAAAACGGGGATGTGATAATAATATTGACCGGTCTACTAAATTATATATTACACTTTTTTTGTGGCATATAGGATGATTTGAATGATATGAGAGTGTTCTACCCGAAAATGTTTTTTTCTGAAACCAATCTATGTATATTATGTTATTTATAATTTTGAGTGAGATATCTAAAAAACTTATGCTACGGTTATCCTCTCTTTCTATTGTGAATTTTAATCTATCGTGACAATCATTAAATTTTTCTACTAGATATGTGACTTGATCTTCCGGCAAGCAAAGCAAGATATCATCGACGTAGCGATAGTAAAACCTTATATTAACCTTTATAGTTTCAAGAATCCTAGTTTCTATATCTTGCATGACAATATCCGCAATAATTGGAGATAAAGGCGATCCCATAGGAGTTCCATGTATTTGTTTATAGATCGTTTCGTTGAATGTGAAGTACGTTGAAGTCAAAATGAATTTAATTACATTAACAAACTCATTTTTGTCTATTGATGTGTGGTTTTCAATGTAATGCCATCTATTATTTATGCTGTCTATTGCAAGGTCCACAGGAACATTTGTGAACAACGATATCACATCCAAAGATACGATTGTTTCATTATTATTTAATTTAAGATCAGACAATGCGTTGCACAATTCAAAACTATTGTTAACATGACTTTTCCCTTTGGGTAAACTTGTCACTAAAATGTTGTGTAAATATGCAGCTAAATGATGTAGTGCTGTATTGACCGACGATACTATTACTCTGAATGGAACATTTTCCTTGTGAATTTTGGGCAAGCCATATGCTTTAGGAAGCACTGAATCACTGGAACTTAAACAATAATAGTCTTTTTTTGTGATCCATTCATTTTTTAACCATTGTTTTAAATTTTTGTTAAGGTCTTTTTCTATTTTTATTATTGGATTGTTTTTGATTGTCATATAATTATCTTTGTCATTTAATAATTCTTCAACTTTGTCTATATAAAATTCTTTGGTCATTGCTACGGTCGTGTTTCCCTTGTCTGCTCTTGTGAAAATGATGCTGGGATTTTGTTTACAAAATGTCATGGTTTTTTTGTACATAAAAGTAAGTTTGTCATTAATTATGTCTTTCCTAGTATTGTTGTTTAAAAAAACAAAGAACTGTGGAATAGCTATGTTTCTTATTGTCGTGAGATTAGTTATGTTATTCGAATTGCTTTCTATGTCTTTAATAAATTCATGGACAGCTGTTTTTTTATCAGTATTAATAGGAAGGCTAAA